CTGTGAGTTGGAGGCCAGCCTGGTCTACAGAGTGAGTTCCAGGACAGGCACCAAAGCTACACAGAGAAACCCTGTCCCGAAAAACAAAACAAGGGGCTGGAGAGCAGGCTTAGCGGTTAAGAGCAATGGCTGCTCTTCCAGAGGTCTTGAGTTCAATTCCCAACGACCACATGGTGGTTCGCAACCCTCTGTAATGAGATCTGGTGCCCTCTTCTGACATGCAGGCAGAACATTGTATACATAACAAATAAATAAAATTTAAAAAAAAATCTGGGTGTGTTGGTGCACACCTGAGTCTAAGCACTCAGGAAGCAGGAGCAAGTGGAAGTCCATGAGTTTGAGGTGAGCCCAGTCTACATAGTGAGTTCCAGGTGAGCCAGACCTGCATAGTGAGGCCATCTCCATGACAACAATAAAAATTTTGAAAAGAAAAAATGAGGTAAGTGAAATCTCACCTCCGTATATTTGCATGCATTACTTCTACCTGTCCTGTTCTGCAGGAAGTAACCAGGCTCCCACCATGGTACAGCTGCCGGGTGGGCGATTTTTGATGGGGACAGATGCTCCAGATGGCAGAGATGGTGAAGGGCCTGCCCGGGAAGTGACGGTAAAACCCTTTGCCATTGACGTATTTCCGGTGACCAATAAAGATTTCAGGTATTTCAAAGGTTTTGGGGGATGGATGGGTGGGTAAGGTTTCTTTCTAATCTTTTCTAATTCTAATCTTCATTCCCAATATTCCTATCTCAAAATAAATAAATAAATCTTGATAAGAAACAATTGTAAGATGTTAAATAGAGGCCAGGCAGTGATGGCACGCGCTTTTAATCCTAGCACTCGGGAGGCAGAGCCAGGCAGATCTCTGAGTTCAAGGACAGCCTGGGCTACAGAGTGAGTTCCAGGACAGCCAGAGCTATACAACACAGTGAAACCCTGTCTCCAAAAACCAATAAAGAAAGAAAAGATGTTAAATAGACAAGTATCTTATAAACCACAAAAAATATTATCACAGTTTTTATTTTTTAAATTCTATATATGAGTGTTTTGCTTATCTGTTAGTATGTGCACCCACATTCATGTCTGGTGCCCCCAAAGGTGAGAAGAAGGTGTTAGATTCCCTGCAACTGGAGTTACAGAATGTTGTGAGCTGCCAGATGGGTGCTGGGAATCCAGCCTGACTCCTCGTTAAGAACAACAAATGCAGCTGGGCATGGTGGCGCACATGTTTAATCCCAGCACTCAGGAGGCACAGGCAGGCAGATCTCCGTGAGTTCGAGGCCAGCCTGGTCTACAGAGTAAGTTCCAACATAGGCTCCAAAGCTACCCAGAGAAACTCTGTCTCAAATAAATAGATAGATAGATGGATGGATGAAAAGATAGATAGATAGCTAGGTGTGATGACACATACTTTTAACTCTAGCACTGGGAAGGTAGAGGCAGGAGGATGTCTGTGAGTTGGAGGCCAGCTTGGTCTACACAGCAAGTTCCAGGTCAGAAAGACTCTACAGCAGTGGTTCTCAACCTGTGGGTTGTGACCCCTTGGTGTTGAGTGACCCTTTCACAGGGGTCACCTAAGACCATTGGAAAACACAAATACTTACATTACAGTTCATAACAGCAAAATTACAGTTGTGAAGTAGCATGAAGATAATTTCATGGTTGGGGGGGCCCATAGCATGAGCAACTGTATTAAAGGGTCGCAGCATCAGGAAGGTTGAGAACCACTGTTCTACAGTGAGTCCCTGTCGGAACAAAACAAAACAAAAAACCCCACAGAACTATATACTCAAAAGAGGGATTTCTACTAATGCCTATTCTAATTTTACAGAAAGTCTGGTCAGGTGTGTTAGACATGAAGAATATTCTTGGTGTTGCACAAACACACAAATCGAAGGTAGCGTGGCAAGGTAATTTTTTTGTAAAAAAGGCGCACAAGCCCCAAACCAGACTGGCAAGCACTTGACGAAGAGGATTTTTTGTCTTTTGTGTCTGATGTTCATCAGGACTGCATCTCATCCACTTGTAGGAGCCGGACTTCACACCCTGATTCAGGAATTGAGTCCTTGAAGGCACAATTATTTTAATGGGAAAATAAAAGAAAAGAAAAAAAAAACAGACTACTTTCGATACAAAGAAGAAAAAAAACCTCACAGGTGTCAGGTTAATTTCTTGAAGCTTGTGAAAACTCTCACAGGAGGAGGACACAAGGCTCCCTGGGGCAGAGGATGGAGAGGACCGTAGGGATGGGCATGGAATCCTAGCCACTGAGCCAAGGGAACTCTCTCTTCCCAGGGAATTTGTCCGGGAGAAGAAATACCGGACTGAGGCTGAGGCCTTTGGGTGGAGCTTCGTCTTTGAGGATTTTGTCTCCCCGGAGCTTAGAGATCAAGGAAATCAGATGCCGGTGAGAGAGCCTGGTCTCGGGGTAGGGAGGTGGGAGGCTCAGGGGATGAAGGTGGGGGGAACAGGGAAGGAGGGTGGAGGTGGGACCTGGGCAGTCTTCTGAGGGAGAGGGGAGGGGTCACCCGAGTGCTGTTGTGAAGGATCAGACTTGGGGGCCCAGTGGAAGCCAGAGAGTATACCCACAGCTCAGTTAACCAGAGCAGCCAAAGTGGTAACAGCCAAGCCTGGTAATGAATGCCTGGAGGCCCAGTTACTTGGGAGGCTGAGGCAGGATAGCAAGGTCAAGGGCAGCCTGAGCAGTTCAGGGAGACCCTATCTGAAAATGGAATTGTTAGAAGGGGGGCTAGATGTAGCTCAGTGGCAGAGGGCTGCCTACCAGCATGTGCAGAGCCATGGGTCCAGTCCCCAGGACTCAGGGGGAAAAGACAGGGTGAAGGTCAGAAGAAGGAAAAGCTATCCCTCTACTTTGGCTTTGGGTTTTTTTTTGGGGGGGGGGGAGGTGTTTTTTTGGTTTTTGTTTGTTTGTTTTTGAGACAAGGTTTCACTGTGTAGACCCTAGAGCTCATGATGTAGACCAGGTTGACCTTGAACTCACGGAGATCCTCCTGCCTCTGCCTCCTAAGTGCTGAGAGTACAGGTGTGCACCACTGTACTGGGTTTATGCAGTACTGGTGACCGAACCCAGGGCTTCATGCATGCTAGGCAAGCGCTCTGCCAACTGAGCTACATGCCCCACCCCAGAATATCATTTTTAAAAGATTCCATCCATCGCCAGGTGTTGTGGAGTATACATTCAATTCCGGACTCAAGAGTCTCTTGAGTTTGTAGCCAGCCTGGTCTGCATAGTGAGTGCCAGTTCAGGGCCATCTCAGTCTACATTGTGAAATCTGGCTCACAACGAAACAAAGCATTCCATCCACAGCCCATGGTCTGCGTTCCCCTTCCAATAGCAAGTCAAGAAGGGTCCTTGGCTGGGTCAGATTGTCTTGCCCTCATGCGGTTTCTCTCTTTGCAGTCTGTTCTCTGGTGGCTACCAGTGCAAAAGGCGTTTTGGAGGCAGGTGAGTATTGGTTCCTTTGCCTCATTTTCTACTACTGCTGGGTTTCATCCTGGAAATTTGTTTTCCCTAAATCCCTAGTTCCTAAAAACACCAGTCATACTGAAGTCATTTATCTGTTTTGTTTTTGAGACAGGGTCTCACTGTGTAGCCCTGGCTGACCTGGAACAGGCTATGTAGATCAGGCTGGCCTCGAACTCAGAGATCTGCCTGCCTCTTCCCGAGTGCTGGGAGTAAAGGCGTGTGTCACAACACCTGGCCGGGAATGCTGTTTTAAGGAGTGGCTAGGGCATTTCACGAATAACCCTGTTCCTTTTGCTCTAATTCTTTTCCATGGTTCCTACTGCACTCTTTACTGAAGAATCCTTTTGTCTCCCTCCTCCCTCATGGCATCTCACTCTGTAGCCCAGGGTCCTCCTTCCTCAACCTTCTGAGTACTGGAATGACAGGTGTGTGCAACCACGGTTCCCGTTGTCTCTTCTATGTTCCTCACTCACCGATCCATCTTTCCCAACTTCCTTCCTCTACCTAGTGGTAAAGGCTGAACTGAGTCACCCCAAGCCAATCCCTTCCCTGGATCCCAGATCTCACTTCCCTCTGGCTGTCAGCCCGCAGGTCCCGGCTCTGGCATCCGAGAGAAACTGGAACTTCCGGTGGTGCACGTGAGCTGGAACGATGCTGGCGCTTACTGCGCATGGCGGGGAAAGCGGTTGCCCACCGAAGAAGAGTGGGAGTTTGCGGCCAGAGGGGGCTTGAAGGGTATGTGTGTAAGCATTGCAGCTAGGATAGAAAGGGATCCTGGCAGTCAGGAGCCAAGGAGTCCCACAAAGTCACCGTCAGCATAGCCGCCTGCAGCCCTGCTCCAGCGAAAGGTTTTCCCAATGTAACAACTCGGCTCCAGCAGGGGAGGGTTCGTTCCCCCAGCCAGCTTTGCTCCGGTCCCCTAGGATGTAACAACTCGGTTCCGCTAGGGTTTCCCCAGCGAGAATGTTTCTGCTCCAGCTCTGGCGAAGATGTTACTGCTTAGCTCTGCTCTGCTCCATTCCTGCAAAAGGTCTCACCCAAACCTCGTTCAAGAGATTTATTAGGAGTGAGGAATCCAGGACGGCGGCTGCCTCTGCCAAGGTGGAAAAAGGCAGCGGCAAACTGAGTAGGCACTGAGCTTATATGGTGCTTCTTAGGGGCGGGATTTTTCCAGCATGGGAATTGGTCGGATTTCAATCCCTGAGCTTGGACAAGCTCAGACATTGGCTGGATTTTGTGCTCAGGGATTGGCTGGTTTCATGCGCAGGGTGGTTTTCCTACTCAGGGATTGGTTGTTTTTTTATACTGAGTTGATCAGGGATAGAGTGTGTATTTTTGGCTCTGGGTTCAGGGCCAAAGTGTGTTTCTTTCACTGGCTCTGGGTTCAGGGCCAGGGTGTGTTTAGTAGGGTAACTATAATGTGGATGGCAAGGCCATTCTCTTACTCATCTTCCTGCCCTTCCCTGCACTGGGGCTTGAACAGGTTGGGAGGGTCCGAGTCATCTACAGTAGTGATTTTTAACATGGGCAAGGGGCCAATTACTGTTCTGTGGTTTCATCTCTGATCCAGTGTAGACCAGTCACTCACTTACAACACGACATAAAAAGAGTAACAGATGTTTGTGAGCTGCCAGATGTGTGTACTGGGAACTGAACTGACATTCTCTGGAAAAGCAGCAAGATGCATATCTGCTCAGCCATCTTGAAGCCCTAAAAAATGTTATTAGAAAGCTGGGCATGGCGGCACACACCTTAAATCCCAGGGCTTGGGAGGCAGAAGCAGGAAAATCTCTGTGAGTTCAAGGCCTGGCCCAGGTCAACAACCAGAGCTACATAGTGGGATCCTCCTCAAAAAAAGTATACAGAGAGAGTTGCTGCATGGTGGTGGCGCACACCTGTAATCCCAGCACTTGGAAGACAGACCCACATTAAGCGCTTCTATACTCTTCATGAACACAAGGTTATGTCAATAGTCAGTTTTTTATTTTATTTTATTTTATTTTATTATTTTATGGTTTTTGGGGACAGGGTTTCTCTATGTAAACAGCCCTGGCTATACTGGAACTTGCTTTGTGGACCAGACCAGCCTCAAATTCACAGAGATCTGCCTACCTCTGCCTCCCAGTGCTGGGATTTTAGGCGTGCTCCACCACCGCCCGGCCAATAGTCAGTTTTCAGTTCTGGCAAATGAGGCCGCTTCCTGCCTGTTCATCATGGCACTTTTAAGTCCAGCTAACGAGGCCCTCGAGCCTTCCCTCCATGCCTGTGCGTCCCTCCGCCACACTCAGAGTGACAGACAGGGCCGTGGTCCAGGGTGTAATGTAAGTCTGTCTGTTGCTTCCCAGGTTGGGGGAGGACTATGATGGGATGAAAGGAAAGGATGTCAGTCACCCTTTCTCACCATCTCCTGCCTCCCTGCTGGGTTTTTTCACTTTCTTACTTCTTACCCAGTTCTTTTTTTTTTTTTTTTTTTTTTTTTTTTTTTTTTTTTTTTTTTTTTTTTTTTTTTTTTTTTTGTCTCTTTGTCGTCCTGCAGGCCAGGTTTATCCATGGGGGAACCAGTTCGAGCCAAACCGCACCAACCTGTGGCAGGTAAGACAACCCCCCCCCCCCTCCTTCTCCAAGCCTTGATCAAGTCCTGCAGAGGTACTGTTTCAGTCCCGGTGGGACTCGGTGCTGTATCGAACACTGTTAAGGCCATGGACAAGGATGACAGTGCCTACCAGGGCCTGGGGAGACAGGTTGTCCTCCCAAGACAAATCACAAGCTCAACGTCTTCCTGAGCAGCTGACTCAAAAATGGAACACAGGGCAATGGGAGCACTCACCTTTAATCCCAGCACTCAGGAGGCAGAGGCAGGCCGATCGCTGAGTTCGAGGCCAGCCTGGCGAGTTCCAGGACATGGATGCTGGGAACGGAACTCAGATTCTCTTGGGTCCTTTGCAAGCACAGTGGCACAGTGCATGCCATTTAAAAAAATATTTACTTATTTTTATGTGCATTTGTGTTTTGTCTGCATGTATATCTGTGTGAGGGTGTCAGATCCCCTGGAACTGGAGTTAGAGACAGTTGTGAACTGCCATATGGGTGCTGGGAATTGAACCCAGGTCCTCTGGAAGAGCAGCCAGTGCTCTTAACTACTGAACTATCTCTCCCGCCCTCAGTACATGCCCTTAACTTCAGAACCATCTCTCCAGCCACTCCACAGTATTTTTGGAGACAGGACTTCTCAGTGGGAGACGGGGCTCACCATTTCAGCTAGACTGCCTAGCCAACCAGTCCCCAGGATCTGCCTGTCTCTGCCTCCCCCAGAACCAGAGTTACAGATGCATGCCACTATAGCCAGCTTAGTGGGTTCTCAGGATATGAGCTCAGGTTCTCAGGCTTACACAGCAAAGTGGGCCATCTCTCCAACTCTCTGAACTCTAGATTTGACGAGAAGAATAATGAAATTGAACCAATCGCATCAATAAATATAGATGGTGTATTTAAGTAAAAGTGGGAGATATGGGAAAGTATGGGCTCCAATGCCTCTATCCCGGGCAAGGAATGTAGAACATAGATGGGTGGAGACAGCGCTCTTTCCAAAGCACCCTGTAAGGGAAGCTGAGGTCACTGTCCTTCCCCCATGGAGCAGCAGAGTGGAGTGACCCTGTTTTCCTCTGGGTGGACAGGAGTACTCCCTTGGGACAGGCTGATAAATCTTTCACTGTCATCGTTCTCGTCAGGGAAAGTTCCCCAAGGGTGACGAAGCCGAAGATGGTTTTCATGGACTGTCACCAGTGAATGCTTTCCCCCCACAGAACAACTATGGTAAGACCTCCTGTGGTACAGTGTCTGGCAAGATGGCGGAATAAACCTCCCGCAGCCTGTCCAGGACATTTGGTGGGTGGGAGAGCGTCCCCTAGCTCCCCATCTAATGACCTGCTGCTACGCAATAGGACTGTATGACCTCATGGGCAATGTGTGGGAGTGGACGGCATCCACCTACCAATCTGCTGGCCAGGACATGCGTGTCCTCCGGGGGGCATCATGGATCGACACAGCAGACGGCTCGGCCAATCACCGGGCTCGGGTCACCACCAGGTAAGGGTCTCAGGTCAGGGACCACAAGCCACTGTAGCCCTGGCCGAGGGTGTAGATGCCGGGCTTCTGCACCCCAGCCCCCCCCCCTTTTTTTTTTCCCCACTCCAGTCCCTTCCTGGTCCATCTCTTTCGGGATCTAGTTCACACCCCTCACCCTTCTTGTGTAGCCTGCCTCCACTGAACGTTGTAAGTGAAGCACCGCTGACTGTGGGAAGTAAACATGGGTCCCCGAGACAGCCCGGGGACCCCTTCCTGAGACTCAGCAGCGGTAAGGGAACTGTCCGGCAACCTCGTACTCTCACACGGAGCAGGCAGAGGGAAGAAGATGGAACTGCATATCAGTGGGTCACAGCCAGGAGACTTGAGTTATGCTGCTCCTCAAGCTGCTGGATGCATGCACACACACACACACACACACACACACACACACACACACACACACACTGCTTAAGGCCATTTTGTCAAGGAGGTGCTGGGACTGTTCCTTGTGTAGTGATCTGCAGTGACTCCCCATCAGAGAATTCCTGTCTTCGGGACTTCTGCTTCACTCACCGTAGATTTGATTTGTCCGGCCTCAGCCATGACTCCTCAAGCTTTGTTGTAGCTGAGAGCTTTACATCCTCATCCCTAAGCACCAGGCAAAGAGAGAGACTGGGCCTGGTGTGGGCTTCTGAAACCTCTAAGCCAACCCCTAGCAACACACTTCCTCCAAGAAGGCCACACCCACTCCAACATGGCCACACCTCCCAATCCTTCTCAAATAGTTCCACTCCCTGGTGACCAAGCATTCAAATAGATGAGCCGATAGGGGCTACTCTCATTCAAACTACCGCACCAACTCTCTTCTCAGCAGACCCCATGCAAACAGCATGCACATTCTCTCCCTGCTCTACTACAGGATGGGCAACACTCCAGACTCCGCCTCAGACAACCTGGGCTTCCGCTGCGCTTCCAGCACAGGCCGACGGAAGGAGGATCTGTGAGCCTCCAGGCAGGGACGGAGAAAGCCCCACTGAGTACTGGGTCTCCCTGACCATGTTCCAGAGACATCTGGATACCGAGTTCTTCATCAGCCTGCAGGTGGCTTCTCTTTGAGCCCCTTCTCTCTGGCAGATGCCTCTTAAGGGCAGAAGAACACTCAACCCAAGAGGCGACTGTCATAGCCTGGAAGAGGAAGGCCAGGATGATCATGACCATGGCTGGGAGCTGGCTGGGTGTTTTCTCGGAAGTACATATTAGGGACAAAGGAACCAAACACTCTAATATCTGGAGTCATTCTCCAAAAGACAGTGATTGAAAAATGGCCCCCTTTCAGCCAGACGGTGGTGGTGCACTCCTTTAATTTCAGCACTTGGGAGGCAGAGGCTGACAGATCTCTGAGTTCGAGGCCAGCCTGATCTACAGTGTTAGTTCCAGGACAGTCCAGGCTACACAGAGATACCCTTGTCTGGGGGTGGGGGTAGGAGGAACCTCTTCCTTTTGCTTTCTTCCTCTTAATTCAGCTTTCACTTCTGGGAAATCCTGTAGAAGGAAAATGCTTCCTTTTGTGTTGGTGCCTAAAGCCCCCTGAGGGAATGCTAGCCTCCCTGTCCATCGTTTGAAACAGGGTACTCACCATGTGGCAAGGCTGGCTCAAACTCTCAGTCCTCTGACCTCAGCTTCCTGAGTGCTGGGATTATACACGGTGCCCAAGTATTAAAACAATCTGGGAGAGCAAATAATCTACCAGGTGACGCTGTGCATTGTGGGGGTAACAAGATCTGTGCTCCTCTAGGAAGACAAAGGTCAGAGACTTCTCCTCTGAGTGTTACTCATGAAGGGGCTTCTGTGTACCTCTACAAACATGTCCCTGGACAGACTGGAGCCCATGGTGTCGCTGGATCTCATAAGGTCAATAAACTCTGCATTTGTGTATATCATGAGGTCCACTCTTTTTAAATTGTTGTTTGAGACAGGGTCTCATGTAGTTCAGGCTAGCCTCAAACTCCTTGTATAGCCAGGAATGACCTTGACCTCCTGATCACCCTGCCTCCACTTCCTCCTTTTTCGATAACCTTGGGCCCATGAAGAAACAGACAGGGGCTGGAGAGATGGCCCAGCGGTTAAGAGCACTTGTGTTCAGTTCCTACCACCCACGTGGTGGTCCCCAACTCTCTGCAACTCATTTCAGGGCATCTCTCGCCCTCTTCTGGCCTCCACAGGTACTGCATGCATGTGGTGCTCATAATAAACAGGCAGACAAAACACACAAGAAATACATCAATCGAAAAAAGGAGGAAGAACCCAAGACCGTGAGAACGGTGCACAGTGGAGAAGCCAGAAAGCTGGTAGCTCCTCGTGTACACGTGCTCTCTGTCCTTCCATTCCTGCCTGACACGGCCTCAGGGGCGTTGGATTTATTTATTTGTTTATTTATTTATGTGTGTCATGCCGGAGATCGAACTCGGGGCCTTACACTCACCACGGAGTTACATCTCCAGCCCTATTTTTAATTTGAAACATTCACCACTAAGCTGCCCGGGCTGGCCTGGAACCTGGGGCCCTACTGCTTCCGGACCACCGGCGCTGGCACCACCACCCCCAGCCCCAGCTGTAATTACCGCTGTTTCATGGGAACGCCCTGCGCTTCTAGTGGGAAGCTTTTGAGAGCACAGGGTAGGGCCGCCTGCTCCGACCCTGAGGCCTATTTGGGGACGCCCCACAGTTGTGGGGGTGTCTGCTGTCTGCCTCCCCCTGTGCCCCGCCACCCCCTCAGAAGTCCTCCTCCTCCTCGGCCAAGGAGAGGAGCACTGCCTTGGGTGTGTTCTCGAAGAGGGCAGCCCGATTCTGCTGCTGCCCTTTCTTCACCCAGTGGCCGTAAATTCGGAAAGCGTAGGCGTCGATGAGCCTCCGTAGGGGCCTCAGGGCGTAGGGGTCGCGGATGACGATCTCCCTGGTTACGGGCTTCACCCGACGGTACTGGTAGTAGATCTTTACCGAGGCCAGCACGGTTAGACAGATCACCTGCAGGAGGGAGCACTGAGAACCCGCAGCCCAGCTTGTCAGAAAACCCACGGTGGCTTTGGGGACGCCCGGCAGGATGACCCCTATTTCCAGACCACACGTAATCTACCGGGAGTTAGGCTAACAAGGTCAGTGGGCTGACATTCCCTGCGACCAGAAATTTGATTTGGAACAGTGGATACAAGAAGAGGGGCCATTTGCTCGGCGGCAGCGGCGGCGGCGGCGGCGGCGGCGGCGGTGGCGCATGCCTTTAATTCCAGCACTCGGGAGGCAGAGGCAGGAGGATCTCTGTGAGTTCGAGGCCAGCCTGGTCTACAAAGAGAGTTCCAGGAAAGGCGCAAAGCTACATAGAGAAACCCTGTCTCGAGAAAAATAAATAAAAAAAGAAAGAAGAAAAGAGAAAACAAAAAAGACAAAGAAGAAAAGAAAAGGGGGGGCAATTCTAGAATCCCCCACAGTTTAAGGCTCCGGGAGCCTGGTGTCAGCAGGTGTAGGCGCCAACAGCAACCTCTCCCAAGACCCCTGGTCAAGGTAAGTTTCAGTACCTTGAACTTGCCCCGGGGACTGAAGTGTCGCACTTCTTCCACAATGTACTGCTGGAAGAAAGGGTGTGCCAAGGCCTCCTCTGCCGAGCAGCGGTCCTGGGGTTTCACCACCAAGAAGCGAGACACCTGTGAGAACAGAAGGGCGCGGAGGATACCGGGACAGCGTTTTGTTTTGGAAGGCGCAGGGTGTGGTGGTCAATCCTCATTACCAACTTGGTAGGATTTAGAACCACTATGAAAACAGATCTCCGGACGTGTCTGTGAGGGGTTGGTTAGAGGGATGGAGGTGGGAAGTTCCACTCTAAATGTGGATGGCTCCATTTCGTGGGCTGGGGTCCTGGACTGAATAAAAAGGAGATAGTGAGCTGAGCACCAGCATCCGTCTCTCTGCTTCCTGACTGTGGATGCCACGTGATCAGTCTCCTCACACATCTGGAGCCATAAAGCATGAGCCAGAATTAAACTTTCCTTCCTTAAGCAACTTTTTTTTTTAAATTTATTTATTTAGCTGGGCAGTTGTGGTGCACGCTCTTAATCCCAGCACTTGGGTGGCAGAAGCAGGTGGATCTCTGTGAGTTCAAAGCCAGCCTATTCTACAGAGTGAGATCCAAGATAGCTAGGACTGTTTCACAGAGAAACCCTGTCTCAAACAACCAAGAAAAAAAAATATTTATTATGTATACAGTGTTCTGCCTGCCATACATGCCTGCAGGCCAGAAGAAGGCACCAGATCTCATTAAGGATGGTTGTGAGCTACCATGTGGGTGCTGGGAATTGAACTGAGGACCTCTAGAAAAGCAATCAGTGCTCTTAACCTCTGAGCCATCCCTCCAGCTTCTTAAATAGCTTTTGCTAGGTCTTTTGTAGCAGCGATGAGACAAATTTCAGAGGGGTCCCTCCTGGAGATTCCTCCACTCTGGGGTATGCTCCTGTAGTGGGGTGTTGGCCTCTCCCTTGACATACGGGGAGCTGGTGGGCATGGCCTCTCACCAAGTCTTTCACTGTGTCTGAGTAGTCATCCCATTCTGGCGAGCCAAACTGGTATTTGCCATCCATGATCATCCTTAGCATCAGCATCTGCTTCCGGTGCCAGAAGGGTGGGGAGCCAGCCAGCAGTGTGTACATGATGACCCCAGTGCTCCACCTGGAGGGTGGCAGGGTCTCACGTCACACTTAACCTCATGGGCATGCAGGAGCGGCTGGCTGTAGTTTCTAGTTTCACTGGGGTCGGACCACGGTTGTGACCACCTCCCACATCTGCCCAGATCACTCACATGTCCACCTCCTTCCCGTAGCCAGGATGGCTGTCGTCCATGGAACACTGGATGATTTCAGGGGCCAGATAACTAGGAGTCCCGCAGACCTCTGCAGGAACAGTCATT